GCTAACCTCAAGGTCCTCAATCTGTGGTTGGGGAGGGATGGATATTAACAAATGACACTGAATGAGGCAATAAACAGAAACATGATCACTCAAAATGTGCTCTAAATAGGTGCCTTTTGGTCTTTGTAAATGACTGTATGTTTCTAGAGTTACATCTAGATTACATCTTGAAATGGCTGCTTTCAGACAAAAAAGGGGATTCTCTAGGTAATTTTACCCACTCATTAGGTAAAACCAGCGTTCTGCACCTGGAAATATCTAAAATATGTGTTGTCAAATATAAATCAAGTTAAAAGATTTTGTTTTAAATTAGCAATATTTAAAGAAGATACATCAGTATTACTTTTTTATGATACAATAGAACAACATTGGATTTCTCTTGCCAGGTGAGTATAAATAAAGATTTGTAATCCGGCCATAACAACTAAAACAAGTGAATCTCTTGATAGAGAATAAATATCAGAGTGATTTGTTAAGTAGTTTTTAGGTCCAGATCCATGGTAGCCAGCTGCTCCTTTGGTCAGCGGGTGTTAGTAGTGTGCAGCGCTTCCATCACTACTTGGTGTTTTAACTCAGATGTTGACCATAACATCCAGATGTGTTTTTCTTTAGACCCACTCTCTTGTTAGCTGTGAGCACAACCAGCTGGGTTTGAACATCTTGCTATGAAGCATGGTTAATGATGAAGAGTCTCCTCTCTGTTTAATTTAAGCATATGTATTTGTAGGTTTAAAATAGTCCATCCTGTTATCCAAAGAACAAGTATGAGCAGGTAGCCAGGAGTGACGTGGTTGTTTCCCATGTCAGCTCTAAACAGCGCATAGCTCACAGTTATCCAACTGAAGAGCATTCTGTCCATCACCAATCAGTCCACTCAGACATAAAACCTCCTCTTCATTATAAATTGTCCACAACATTCAGGATTAAAGCCGTAAAAAAAAAAAAGAAAAATTATTTTGAAAAAAAAAATAAAATAAAAATCAGCTCTAAGTGTTTAATATTGAGGTATTTTAATTGAACTCTCAGATTAACTTGAGATACACTTTTGATCAATGTCCAAATTCTATTGAGACATGAATTGTCTTGGTCTTCTCAGATGGACTGCCAATCTGTCCAGGGTGAACCCTGCCATTGAATGGATGGACGGACAGACATTCTTGCTCTTGGCCTCCAAAAGTTTTGGTCTTGTCTTCAGTCTTGATAAACTGCGGTGCTTTTGTTCTTTTTGGAATGTCAAATATCCAGAGCCATCCAGGGGCCAAAGCCTTCTCTATCACTGCGCCTCGCTTATGGAATAGCCTCTCGCTGCACAATAGGGAGGCTCCTTCCCTGTCAAATTTTAAAACACAACTCATGACTTACAGTACTTTCATACACTGGCTTTTAACCCTGGCAGGACTCGGTAGTGTTTTATTCTTTTATTGTGTTTTATTATTTTTAGCTATATTCAGGACTTTGTTTTCAACTGTAGCTATTTTTAAGTGCTATACAACTACGATGATGATGATGATGATGATATCTTTTATCATTTTGTCATTCCAAAATTTTAACTTTATTGTCCTTAAGGTACTTTCTAACTCATTTGATGTAATAGTTGTGGTTATTATTTATTTAAAGTCCTACATTAACCTCCTCACAGTTGTCTTGAAATGCCCCTTCAACACTACCACATATAAATTCAACAACAATATAAATTCATTACTAGACTTAGTAAGACACCCATACAACACAATGCTGGCACCACTTTCCAGCAATTTCCTGCAATTCCTTTAAAAAAAAATGCATTTTCAATATTGGAAGCTTCTTCCCTATAAACCATGGTTTGATAATATAAGTGTAGAAATATCAAAACCTCTTATAATGGCCAGGTGTACCTGTTGCTTGCCTCTGCCATGTTTCTTCAAACCCAGAGTCCTGAATGCAAATGAATTCATCTCTGCATCCTCTAGTCAAATATTAAGCTGAGTGGCTGAACATGTTCCATGAGCATCCATGCACAGAAGTTTCATCCGTTATTTCATGCACTCTGCACGTGTGTCTGTTTGTTCGAATTCTTTCTGTGCATGTGTTGAAAGCCTACCACATTTTATGATGAAAGTTCACTTCCAGGCAAAACAAGGGAGGAAAGCTGCTTAAGTGAAAACAAATATTTGATCTTTTTTCCACACTGTGTGGAAATATTTGCCAGTTTTCTAAGTGAGAAATCAGAAGAGAGGAGACACACATACCTTGAGGTGGTGTAATTTCACACAGAAGCCAATCCATCCAATAGATAAAGGTCCTGCATAATGCCAAGAATCTGGAGAGGTTTAAAAACAAATAAATATATCCTATTATCCTGTCTATTGCCATGGAACCTTTCAGTCTTTATAGACAGGATAAAGAACTTACTATGATGTTTCTATCCAAAATCAATAATAAAACATTCACTAAATATGATTCATTTATTTCTCCTGTACTTTTGGTTAACCAGCTGCTGCTAAGCATGTTCATCTGAATTTATATGAATCCAAATGAGTTTTTCTACAGTTCATTAATCATAAAAGTAGATTGATATACATGGTGTATTGAATTTATTGATTTATTACAGCACCAAATACTTGAAAAAAATTCTACATAACTTTTGACCCAAATATTAGCTTAATTTGAGACGTATTAAATATTTTTTATTGATGTTCATACAGGCTACCCTTCTCAAAGACTCCCCTATGTAACCTGGGAGAGTCAAATCTGTTGCTGAATGAGTCATGTGACCTAAAACAAAATTTACATCACTCTAAGCTCCTCCCAAACCCTAAAAAGTTGTAGTTAGGCAGCAAAACATATATGACACTTTAGTGATCTGATATATTTTTAAATTTTTGATGCAGTAGTGTTACCAATTGGTTGAAAGTCAGAGGTCTAGTCCCCCTAGTGGCTAAATGTTACACGATGTTGCTTTCAGTTATGGCAATGATGTCTAAAAGGGCTACTTTTATCCACTTCATGCCAACCTGTACACATTTTAATCTATTTTCTTTTTCTGTGAGTACTGTTAGAGTTGCACTCTCTTGAAGTGCCTCCAAATGAACATCTCCAATTATGTGAGGGTAAAATCATATTTCCCAGCTGGATTGGTTTGCTGGATTGCTGCATGTTTGGTTGTCTCCTGCATTCCCCCATACTCCCTGACTGCGATGGATCCCTGATGTCAGTAAGGCAGGCCCAGACTTAGGCCAAAGGAGATTTCTTGTCTGGAAAAGTTTTACTAGATGGCACAAGTGCGAAAAAAATTAAAAAAAATCGAATTATAATATATTCCCATGTCTATTGAATGGTTTTATCCTCGTAAAGCTATGGTGTAGTATAAACCCGCATGCACAGTGCACCTTAAAGGTATTCATACCCCTCAAACCTTTTTACATTTTGATATGACAAAATCACAAACTTCTTTTTAATAAGTTTTTATTCCTGTCCTAATTACTTATTATTGTTATTAAGTGTTTTAGTTGCTTTCCCTTACAGGAAATACACTCAGTGTCTGAGAGCCATGTGTTGATTTAAAGCAGGTGCATATTCTGATGAATTTTAACGACAATTTCCAGAACACCACTGAATCAAGTTTCCCCACTGTGCTTTTTATAAAACCGCGTTGCGATCACGGCACAAAGGAAATTTCCAGTGATTCATGTCAGTGTGTTGAATGAACGGCGTTGCCATGTGTGCTGTGTAAACTCGACCCCCATCTGTGTTTCCCTTCAAAGCAGGTAAAGCCCAGATGGTATGATTGCAAAGAGCTGTGTTTTGTCTCTGGCACTTCTTGAAACACTGATTGACAACAAATTTAGGGGAGGACAACACATTGTTTTATTGTTAATATGTTCCATATTAATAGAAGGAGGTTGGCTTGCATTGCATATTTTTGTTTTACTTGTCCTACCCAAGTGATAAGAGATGACTGATTAAGTGGGAAAGCTATTCAGCAGCTGCTGCGCAACACTCAGAAAGACATGAGCAGCTTTTCATAAGTAAATGGAAACCTTGTAAGCAATCCTGAAAAAATCTTAGATTATGTCAAATTCTCCATCAACATACTGATCTGAACTACATAAAAAACGTTCCTTATTTTTGAGAGCAAAAATAGCCTCTCTTTGATCAAGTGATAAACACAAAATTACTGTCAGTGTGTGGTCTGAGAAAGAGCCTTTCATCACCAACTGCTGTATTGTGATTTCCTTTATTGCACCATCTTTTTCCATTTTTGAGAAGTGACCTCATCAGGGAGATAGTATGCTGCCACGTTTAAATCCAGACACGTTACGTCACCTGGTCAGATTCCTTCTGCTTTTCATTCTGGCTCAAATTAATCTGCCTGTCACCTTTTGCCTCCTGGTCTTGAGCTAACACCCAGCTGCGGGATGAAGGATAGAAACGACACAGCATTAGTGTTGCTCTTTGGATTGACAATATCAGATACAGTACAGCATCACAAGGAAGATACCAATCAGTAAATAAGTTATGTAACGCTGAATACAGACATAAATGAAAAGAAGCTCTGTTCCACTTGTCACAGCTGGCCTTGACAGTTTCTAGGGGAACAGCTCTGTTTTTACATGTGAATTGTAGGCTCCGTTTTGATAGTGGCAGTAGTACAGAAGTTTTTCTTGCGAATTAGGGACATAATGGCTGGAAAAACACTGTTGCATTTATAAGACTAGAGTTATCAGCAATCCAGTAGATAACGTAGGCTGTTTTTACTGGAGAAGACAATGGGAAACGAGGGCTTTGCGTGGAGATGGAGGGGCCTAAGGCTGAGTGTACATAGTGATCTAAGAAATGGCTTGGTTACTTTACACCCACACCAATCTCCGTCACACACACACACTCATACACATATAACAGGCCTAAGCCAATGAAATTTGTGGGAATTTGGCTGAGACCAATGAGAATACGAGGTACTGTCACATACTTCAAAAGCTTGAGATACAAGGTATATGTTCAAAACAGGAAAACAAGAATTAGCTGCACAAGTGTATATATTTATTTGCAGTGCCTCGGGGATTTGTTTCATGCCCCTGCACGGGACTTCTCAGTTGGTTTTAAGCTGGTATATGTACATTCCTTTCTCGTTCTCAGGCCCTCATTCTGGTCTGCATCTCTTGGATCACCCCTGCTGTATTCCAGCCACGTCTGAGGTCAGTTCTTTTTCTGTTTGTTTACTGAACAGAGTAGCTCAATACACTGAGTCCCTAAAAGGTTATTTCACAATTCCTACATTTAAACAAAACACCAAACAAACAATATAAAAAATGTTTTATTTAAAAAAAAAGTCGCTTAGATTAGTTTTCTGTTGCTTGAACAGCTAACAGCAGTCTTTCATAATCATTTAGTGAACTTATTTAGTGAACTTATACTAACTTAATAACTGGAACACATTGCTCCACTCCAGGGTATACATATGTAGGGAATCAGGGTGGGCATATTGCCGGCATGGGAGGTAGGTCAGTCTATCGGGCTTTGCTTTCAATGCTCATGCCCAGCTGTTGCTGGAATGCATTTAGACACTTAGGTGTTAGGGTGGGAGAGGTGAGGAGGCACACGTACCTTTCCCTCAGTGTTAAACACACGGTAGTACAAAAGGCAACAATACTACATCGCCGCAGGAGAGGGGGTGGCATGGGGTCTCTTAAACTTCTGTATTCCCCGCTCTGCCTGAGGATGGGGCTGGGCCCTTGGGGTTGGTCTTTGCTGGGTTGGACTCTGGACTCTATTGCCTTTGGTTCTTGTCCAATGGCCTCTATGTCTTGTCGGAACACTGGGATGGGGGGATGCTGTTTCCTGGCGTGGGGGTCTGGGACATTCTCTAGTTCTGCCCCATCCTTGCGGGGAAGTCGGCTGGCTTATGTAGCTGTACGGCAGATGAGATAAAATAATCTGCCAAGATGCATCTCAGCTTGTGGTGTGGGTCTGCCAGGCTGCCTGACCTGACCCTGCGAGCGGCCTGTGCCTGCAGTCATATGAGGGGACGCTGGCAGTGACTGGCGTCTTGGCTTGGGTGGTTGGTGTGCTGTACAACAGGTTTAAGCATGACGGAAAATGGATGGATGGATGGAAGTTCTTTCACAACTGCAGCTTTATTGTCAATGCCAATCTTTTGGAATCATCAGAGGTTTATTATTAAAAGATTATTAAATCACCTGATTGCTATTTACAGCATGTCTAATTAGCTGTTTATGACGTGTTTTTGTTGGGAGTTGATTGAGTCAAGAGGAGCCAAGCAGGAACTGACATCCATCAGAGCAGTGCTCTGTAACACCAAAATCCCAGATTCACCATTACCAGTGTTCCTTGGTTCACTTATCTGCATCAGAGCACTACCTGTCTGATCTGTAAACGGTTTTCCATGCTTGCAACAAAATTGGCAGCAGTTTGGAGATTCAATCCAGTCCTTAAATCTATCTTTGCACTCCTCCAATTTTTCCAGTTCTGCAATCACACTTTTTCACTCACTCCTAACTTGGTTGTCGGCTGCATATTTAGCATGCCTTACCTGGGAAATGCCTTTCCAAATTACTTTTTTTATTATCCTTCCACATTGATAATGAAAGCAAATGATTTGGTCCATTGTTTTAATCCTCTGTTCTCATCAGCCATCTTCCTTTTTTCCCTGCTGCGGATTGCCAACCCCTGGTTTAGAGCATATCCCATTAATAGATGTAATCTTATCAGTTGTGATTACCTAATGACACAAAACCAGTGTAACTCATTTTAAAGGATTCTCTTCTGATAACTAGGTTTACTTTAGGGCATATTAGAATTCCCCGAGTAGATTTTTAAATTGTGCTTTGAAGACAAATATTGCCATGTACTATTGATCTGGTGTGACTTGAAAGAAAATAAATTCTTACCATATAATTCATTCTGTCAGTAACAAAAGATGGATTCTTTGTTGGCTCTACATTTGTATTTAATTTGAATAATCTGATTATGTGTTGTATTTATATACAAATGTCCAAGATGGGAAGACAATGACTTGGAAATAAGGTTCTGCTCTTTAGATAAAGGGAACTTTTTGGTGTTTTCCTTCTTACTGTGTCTCTTGTTTTCTCAGGGCACAGAGCCAAAACTCATATTTCATTAATCCTTTCCCAGCCCGGTGCTGACTCAAACCGATGATTTGTGGGAAAAGAGGATGTTTCATATTATCATCACTTTACCCACCATTCTGGTACCGTGATTTATAACTCTCCACAGCTGAGAAAAACACTAGGAAATTGTTTCTGTGTGTTTCGGACAATATTCATTTACTTCAAAGGGGAGAACTAGGTCAGACATCATTGCAAACTGGTTAGTGGCAGGAGAGAAAATTGAATTAACAGATATGGAAAGAAAATCCACCAGGTTCTCAATAAATACAAAGAACAGAATATTCTTTTATACTACCTCTGGATCACTCTTATCTGTCCCACTAATGCAAAGGGCTTTTAAGGATTTATTTTATTACAGAAAAGTCAGATGGTGCTGGATTTAATGCAAAATATCTGGACGTCTATGAATATTCTTCAGGAAACAAAAACCACAAAAACCTCTATGAGCAATATTCCTTGTGAAAACACTGGAAAAGAGTTATATCCTCTTGTTACAGAGCACATAAAATCATTAAATGATTTGAGGTCTAACATGGCAAAGCATAAATTGCATAAACAAAAATATAAGCCAGACATCTAATCTCTTAGACCACATGGCTTCATTTATCAGCAGGTAAGAAGACCAAGAAAACATGGTTTCCTTCAGGAAACATTTATCAAGCACATTTTCATACAAGAAATCCTCAAAAATCATTACCATGCAAAAGAAGAAGTCTACTTTTTGCATCCTCACCAAAGTCTGTATTCACTTCCTCTGAAAAAAGTGTCTTACCGTTAAAATGTAAAGAGTGGTGAGGCAAACCAATTTATCTTTCTTTAAAAGAAATTAACAAAGCCCAGCACATGAAAGCATGTTTTGTTTTGCCCATCGATTGGATCAGCTCAGGTTTTAGTTATCCATACTAAAAGGTTGAGCCTAAAGGCTGACTTATACTTAGAAACTAGATTGTCTGCAAACTAGATTGTCTGCGTGTGTGTCGCAGTGAAAGCAAATGTGTCCCTGCCGCAGACACTCTGGTGCACCTCTCTAAAATTGTAGGTGACCACAGACAGTGCCGCAGACAAGAGGCCTCTGATTGGTCAAATCTACAGCCGCTCTACACCATATGTATTTCCTGTTTGGTACTTTATTGGCTTGTTTTGTTTGTATGACCGCCAACGCTGGGACCCTTTTTCCACCTGCTGATGAAGGTTCTCAGTCATCCAGGTCATAGTCATTCCGTCATTCCGTAAAAATTCAAAAAATATCCACTGGACTTGGTTTTCAAGATTTGAAGACGTTTCGCCACCTCTCCAGGAATTGAGAAAGCTTCCTGGAGAGGTGGCAAAACGTCTTCAAATCTTGAAAACCAAGTCCAGTGGATATTTTTTGAAATTTTCCGCCTGGATCCCCGCTCTTTTTTGCCCTCATGTCCCTCCGTTGTCAGATAAAGTTGTCCCCACTTCTTCACCGCCTCGGTCGTATCTAGACACACAGCTAGTTTGTGATTGTCCCTCTTGTGTTGTGGCATGGAATAACATAGCGCAGACCACACTTCAATATTGGGTGTAAATCCAAAATATCTGCAACAAGCTCACTGCGAGACACTGCTGCGGGAAGAATAACTATCCCTTTAGTGTGACAAGTCACTTTCTAAAGTTTTCTCACTTCACTCATTCTGGAGTCTAGAGTCTGTAACACATTTAGACAATTGATTATTTGATGTTGGTAATACTAGATTTTCAAAAAATGTCATTAAACAATAAAAAATAAATAAAACACCTCTTAAAATGCTTCAGGAAATTTGACAGCAATTCAATATCAATATGCTAGTAAATGGCTGAAGACATTTTATTCCTCTCCTGAAAATATTGAACAATTGCTGAGGGAGAAACTCTAATTGGTTTGGAAGAGCACATTTAAATTTATATGGAGAGCATAAACTTATAGCAAAATTAAAGTAATGAATGAATTATTCACATAAATGTACTAACATTAAATAATACAGAAGAAGAATTCATGCGCTTGTAAGAACGAGGGTTTGAGCTATATGGGGAAGAAGGGAAACTTATGAGTCTTCCATGAAATTGTCATGATCGTAGCGCTGATGACTTGTCTGATTACGCAATTCGTTCACCTGCCTATCTCCACCCAGTTCTCATTACTGTTCATCTGATCCACCTGCTTGAGCCTCTATTTAATCAGTGTTCAACCAGTCTTCAGTGATTCAGCCTTTTGGTTGAGAGTGTTTCTGATTGCCTGATCCAGTCTGCATCTGGACCTCTGAGCCTCAACTTTTCCCGTTCTGATCTGTTTGCCTCACCTGTCTTCAGACTGCTGTGGGATTTCTACCTGTCTGTTAACCGAACCTGGAACTCCTGCCTGGAACTGTTCTGAATTTCCCTTCAGCACCTCTTCATATGTCTGATCTCCTGGCTCGGTCTCCCGAGCACATCCTCGAACACCTGCTTTGGCTTCACCCTCTGGATTATCCTGGCTTCCTTCATCTTGGAGAAATCTGTCTGTCTGCTCAAATACTGGGACCTACTGTTCTTAGCCTTAACAGAACTTAGAGATTGAAAAAACAACTGCTCAACCTATTCAATGTGTATATGATGCAGAACCATCACTGATTAATTGAGACAGCATACTGTATATATACAAATATGTTGGAAGATTTATTATAACAATTTACTTATTCATTTGTTTGATACGTGATTATTGTAGATTGACCCTAAACTTGTCACCTCTCATATCTTACCCCCACACACCTTTGTTTACAGTTGGATCCTCTCTTTTGACATAAATTGCTTTTTAAACTACTTTCTAAAACTATCCTTCCCATCCAAAATATGAACATTTTAATCTTCAAACTTATCAGTGCTGTATCCTTGGGATGACACCGCTTCTTTCTGAGGGTTTGGTTCTGATGTGGTTCAGGATAATATTTGGAAACAATCTTTCGACTTTCTTCCAAATTCCAGGACTTTAAAGGATGGCAATTTTCTTAACTCTAACACACCCAGTCAAATAAGCAGGAGAACCTGATTGCATGCTGAGGAAGTAA